CTTGTGGTTTTGGTGTCATATCCAGGAAATCATTGCCCAATCCACTGTCAAGAAGCTTTTAATCTATGCTTTTTTTTTTTTCTTTTTTGAGGAAGATTAGCCCTGAGCAAACATCTGCTGCCAGTCCTCCTCTTTTTGCTGAGGAAGACTGGCCCTGAGCTAACATCCGTGCCCATCTTCTTCCACTTTATATGTGGGACGCCTGCCACAGCATGGCTTGACAAGCAGGGCATAGGTCCGCACCCGGGATCTGAACCAGCAAAACAGAACGTGCGAACTTCACACTGCGCCACCGGGCCAGCCCCGCATCTATGCTTTCTTTTAAGAGTTTTACAGGTTTAGCTCTCACATTTAGGTCTTTGGTCCGGTTTGAGTTAATTTTTGTACACAGGGTGAGGGGAGGCTGCGGCGTCAATCTTGTGCCTGTGGAGAGGTTGGTGAGCTTTCTCAAGAAGAGTTAACCGTGCTTTCTCGCTGGAGCTTGTCCTGTTTTCATTTTGCTGTGTTTCTGGCGGGCTGTGGAGCTGGAGACAGAGTGAATGTTTAATTGAGGCCATTTGTTCAAGCTTGGCTTGGCTTTGCAAGTAAACACACTGAGAAACAGACCCGGACATCTGAGCCACTCAATGAATCTCAGCTAAAACTATGGAAATCCACACGCAGACGGAAATCTGACAATGTAGAAGGTGCCTCATCTGCCACGGTACCTTGGCTCCCAGCGTGCTCAACGGCCACGTGAGAAACGGGCGCGTGTGTGAATTCTGGCCTGTTGTCACTGTCGGGTCACCCAGTCTCGGCCGTCACGAGGCTGCCCCGCTGCCCTTCCTGCCTGACCTCTGTCCCCTGGCCATCTGTCCACATAGCCGGCAGCACTGCCCATCTGCCCTGTCCTCTCACCGTGGTCAGCATCCGCCAGAGGGGGCTCAGCGCTTGCTGGTCTTGGGAACGGGCTTGCGTGCCCCCACCAGGTGGCCCTGTGAGCCTCTCTCTCCGTCGACTCACATCATGCTTCTCCCCAGTCTTCATACATGTGAGGGTGTCTGTGCCCACGTGTGTGGACTTGGTGTACGGCTACTCTCGGCTGTCCTTCCGTCTTCTCTCCCTCCTGGCCAGGCAGCTCGTCAGCTGTGTTGGGGTGTTGGGCCCCCATTTTCTTTGCTGGGCTGGAAACATCTTGAGGATAAGCGCTCTACCTGCCATCCTCCTTGTCCCCATCAACAGCTGGTGACACTTGGGGCACATGAATCCCCAGGGGGACCTGGGACAAGGGTGGGGCTGGGGCGGGGGGCCAGCATAGACCATGCACACCCAGGTAGAGCCGAGCCGTGCTCACATTGGGCACCTGCATGTTTACTGCCAAGTCAGACGGGACCCACCCACCCGACTCTTGTAATTCACACGCAAAGAAAGTCTGTGATCCGGGACATCAGGAAGATGACAAAGATGGGGGAAGATGGCCTTGTTTAAAAAGGCTGAGAGCCACACGCAGTTCCCTGTCATCTGTGATGGACGAGGTACGAGGAGCCAGAAATCCAGCAGTGGCTTCCCAGTGGGGTGGAGCCACATCCGGGGGCCGCGGGGCATGGCCAGCTGTACAGACTCAGTCGGGCCGCACGGGGGGTTCCTCATTCCCCACCTGGCTCGGTTCAGTCCCACCACACATGGTGGTGGCCGGGCATAGGGCACACTGGGGAAGGTGACAGGTGCTTTGCTCACAGCCTCAGGGAACCCAGGTTCTGCCCCAGCTGCCTGGCCCACCGCCCTCTGCCCTCTGCCCTCTGCCCTCCCCGCCCACCAGGCTGCTCTTCTGGAAACTTCCAGCAGCTGCAGGGCATGACCTTGGTTCCCCTCGGGGCCTCATCGGATGCACAAGCCAGCACATTGCAGGTCAGGGCCCAGGGGTCACCAGGCTTGGTGTGCAGACAGGGCATCCTGCAGAGAGCGTCCGAAGCAGCACTAGGGTTTCTCTTCTGTCTGCCGACAGTCCCAGGAAAACCCCAGAGAGGAAGGGAGCTGTCCCAGCATGGTCCACGGTTGGCTCCTACTGACTCCTGGTCTCCCTCCCACCCCAGGACGTGGGACTGACATCCTAAGGGCGCCTCCCCTCGCCTCGGTGGCCCCTCAGGCCTGCGGGAGAATGTCCCTCCCCAGGCAGATCCAGACCTGAGGGGCTCCGCTCCTGTCTGACTGCCCGATGGGGCAGCTCCTCCCAGGGTCACTCCAGGACAGGGCAACAAGGTCAGCAACAACAAGGAAGCTGCTGGCTGGTCCCCGGGGCCTCGCCTTCCCCGCACTGCCCTTTCTGTCTCGTCCACTCCTCCTGGTCATTTTCGTGCGTCCCATTGTTGCTGTTTTGCTGGTGGGTGGGCAGGAAGGAATGACCCACACAATGATCCATGCTCAGTTGGGAGGGACGTGGACATGATTTGAGAGAAGATGGACATGGCAGGAGGAGGGGTGGGCACAGCAGGGGCAGCGTGTCCCTTGCCCCTGCCCGGCCATGTTCCCTGAACCCACTGCTGCTGAGCTCGAGCCAGCGACTTGCTTTGGCCAGTGGGAGATAGCTACATCCCAGCCAAAACATCACTGTGTTTGGTTCTCCATTCCTGCTCTGGCCATCCACTGTGAGAACGACGCCCAGATGGTCCTGGAATGAGAGGTCGCACGGAGCCGGCCAAGCCCTCTGGGTCCAGCCAAGCCCAGCAGAACCATAAGGGACTCACAGTCCTCACGTAATATAACATAAGCTGGGAGCACACCGTTAACCTGGGAAGCCTCTGAGATACTGGGGCTGTTTGTTGCTGCTGCAAACACTGACTAATACAACAACCCAAAGGAAAGAATAACTAATGGTAGAATTTGAGAGGCTAGATTTATCTTGAGAGAGGATACCAATGTGTCACCTGGCAGAGGCTGTGAAACAGATGAGGTGCTGAACGATGGTGGGACAGAGCTCCCAGAGACCCCCTGGGGGTTGGTGGTAAAGATGCACTAGAGGTTATTCCGAGGATGGCAGGGCGCCTCAGCTCGGCCGGGAGGAGCCGCCAGGGGGCAAGGCAGGATATGGAGAAATGTTCTCTCGGGCTTCCCTGGGGCGGGAGACTGGCCTCAGGCCTCCAGGATAAGCCTGGAGGCTGCGGGGTGAGGGGTAAACGTCACCCAGGCTCAGCGGGCTGCTACCTCCTGTGTCTCCAGGTCCCGTCCGGCCCCCATGCTGCTGCAGGTACCTGATCGTGTCACCTCCCCATGAGCCCTTCTGCAGCCCCATCTGCCCACAGGATGCAGTTTGGGGCTGAAGCCACCCAGCATGTCCATGTGGCTGCCGCTCACCTGGCCCCGTCTCTGGTGCCCCGTCCCCACTGTCCCCACCAGCCCTTCCTCAGCCTGCACGGCCCCTTGCTGTCTTTCCCAGGCCAGGGGTCTCGCCGCACTGTGGTTCCCATGCCCCTAAGCAAATTCTGAGAAGCCCCGTGGCCCCAGCACACGTTTAAGTTAACAACTGTGGAAGGAAACAAAGACCACCCAAATCAAAGGCTATCTATTCAGTTTGCCGTCACGGCAGGCTCGGCCACCCTCACTGTCCTCACGGGGGCTCACAGGCCGGCACAGGGGGACAGCCTGGTGGGGGAAAAGGAGATTCAGGTGGGCTCTGGTGGGCCCGGGGCCCAGGGAAGCTGTGGGCGAGGGCTAGGAGTGGGGCGTCCTGTGTGACTGGTTAGGGAGCATGTCTGGCTCCCCTGCCTGGTCCTGAGTTAGAAGCGGGAACAAGATGCAGGGAAGCTGGCAGATATGGATGGAGTCCTGGCCACTCGGGGCCGATTGTTATGAGGGCTGGACAGTCATGAGAGACGGCAGACTGGCTTCCTACCAGCGTGACTTCCCCAGCCCGGTTCCTGGAGGGCGGGCGGTCAGAGCCCTCGCAGTACTTATGGTCTGGCCGCCGCACGTGTAAATTCAGTCTCTTGCAAATTTCTCATCATAAGTTTAAGTAGTTGCAAAGGATATAATTCTGACATATTATAAAAATCAACATAAAAAATAACTGAAGTCATTCTCTGAAGTGTATTCGAGTTCTGTATCCATTTGACACCCGCCATCACCCGTTTGAAACATACAGCAGCAACCTCTTCTATAACAGATGGCAATTTTGTATCTTCCCTTTTTTCTCTTAAGGTTTCATTTTCATTCACGTCATCCCGAGGAAGTTCCTCCTCACGGATTTTTATGTTTGAAGGTCTTTTCCTCACCACCTTCTTACTTTTCTGCAGCAAAACTTCTCTATCAATGGAAAACCAAAGTCTCTTTTGTTTGCTGTGACCATGACATTTTCAGCGCTAACAGTTCTTTTCTGTATTGTGGGTGTGACGATAATTAATACATGTCTGATGAAGACACCCGACATGTTATCGTTAGATAGGTCGTTCCTGCACGTGAGCGTCTGATTGTCTGGGGAAGCGTCTCCTGACCCGGTGGGCGGGTGAGGCCGTTTCTCTCACCGGCCGGTCGTGCTTCCGAGGACGAGCTTTCTGGTTGCTAGAAGGACGCAGAGCTCAGCGCCGATTCTGCTCCTGTCTTTCATCTTATGCACGGGGAGGGAAGGGCTTTGTAGCAGCGAAAAATTGAAAACTTAAATGTCTGAATTCTTTCCTAGATAAGTGCCCGAAGTCACAGGACAGGCGATCGAGGCTCTGCCGGGTGCCACCCGGGTCAGGCCCTGCTTCCTTGTTGGTGCCCCGGGGACCTCCTGACTGACAGAAGGACCCTTCAGCGGCCGCGGACCTCCCTGTCTTCTTAATTCCTGGGAAGCTGACCACAAGGCTTTGCCGCGACTCTGGGGTGGCCACTGGTTTTTCCAGGTCACTCTTGCATTTAGAGGCCACCAGTGTAACCTCCTCTTCACAAAAGGGTGGGGGCATTTCAGAAGTCTCGTTCGCTTCATGACACGTTTCTCTGTTGAGTTTCTCTGCTTCTTATGTGCTGCAAATGTGTTTTTGTCAAAGAACGTGGATCCGCAGCTGTGGTGTGCCCCATGAGAGCAGAACTCCCGCCAGGCAGCCGTCTCTCCCGTCACACGGGTCAACCAAGCACACGTTCTGTCAAACAGCCGGGTTCCGTTGGTCGGTTCCTGGACACGTGCTAATACGAACTCAAAAGAAGCTGACGGAAGCCGTGGTGTAAACGCGGATCCTGTGCCGCAGGAGACCCCAGCCGCTGCCGAGATGGAAACCAGGGAGATCCTGCGTGGGACGCCTGCCTTTGAGACAAACTGGCAGCGCCGGCTCAGACCGCACGCCCTGTGCCCGCGCTCGGCTGTCGGCAGTGCGCTGCGTGCGGAGCTAAAAGGGCGAGCTCTTTGTGAGAGCAGGGAGCGGTGGAAGGCCCGTGTTCCCTGGTGAGTGTGAGTGTGTGGATACATGCGTGTGAGTGTGTGTGAGTGCATGCACGAATGAGTGTGTGTTTGTGTGTGCGTGTTGTGAGTGAACTGACCTCCGGAGTTCAGCCTTGGGGAATTGTTAAATAAGAAGCAAGTATGGATCAGCTACAACACGGCGAAGTCCATTCACCACTAAGGTCAAACTTCCCTGTGTATTGAGTGAATAGAAAGGACTTTGCTGGTCCGGAACCCGGGGCGAGAGGGAGGGCAGGTTCGTTTTGCTGGCAGGGTGTAGAAAATATGACTCTGTCCAGGACGGCTTGAAGAGGTGGCCATGCAGGAGATGTCGCCCCGCACCTGCGGGCAGCAGAGCCTCTGGCCAGCTGGGCCGTCGCGCTTTTCCTCCTGGCCTGAGCCACACCCTTGGAGGGGCGCTGGGAACAGCTGAGAAGGTGCCCCCTCTGCGTGTGCAGTTAGTGTGTGTGCTGCCCTCTCTTTGCCGTGACTTGGGCTCCCCCGGGGTCTGGCTCCCTGGCCCAGAGCATCCTGGGCCCTCCCACCACCTCCCTCTGCACCTCGGGAGCTCAGACCATGCGTGGTCCACAGCCAGGTTCGCTCTTAGTGGGCACGCATGCAGGCCGGCCAGAGACGCTGGGGACAGGGGCAGGGACCACTCTAGTCTTCTCCAGAATGTGAAAGTTGGAGCTCTGGCACCTGGTTCCTACCTGTGCCCCTGGGAAAGTGTTCTGTACTTCTGTGCCCTCAGATGAAAGGCCGCTGGCCCAGAGAGCCCCCCTCTCCTGCCCCTTGTCCCCCCAGGTTCTCCTGGCCGGTGGTTCAGCCTCCTCCACCGCATGATCACCTGTGTCACAGGGCATTAGGTGTGGATGCATCTCCTGTACCCACTGCCTGCGTCCCGCATCCCGGCACAGGGAACCTGGCATGCTGCTGCTTCTCTTCCTCCCCTCCTCCTTAGAGGTTTTATTAAATAACAACTGCACTTACTCGTAAAACGAAAACACAACCACAAAGGAATCTGTAGGGCTTACAGAGAAAAGACGCTCCCATTGCCCCCGCCTCCCGCTCCGGTGCCGGCCCACTGAGGCGCCACCTCCAGCTCCTTTGGCTGTTGTTTCCAGGGTCCCCTCTGCTAGTCTTTGTGTTTTTTTCATCTTCAAATACTTTTCTGTTTAACTGGAGAGGTTTGCTGCAAACTCGCACAAAATCTGGTTGTAATAGGCTAACAGCCCGCAGAAGTGTCCACACCCTGATCCCTGGGACCTGGGACTGTGTTACCTTACAGGGTAAAAGGGACGTGGCCGACGGGACTGAACTAAGGATCTGGATCGGGGGGATGATCCTGGATCGTCGGGGGGGCCCAGGGTCATCATTATAAGAAGGAGGCGGGAGAGTCAGAGCCAGAGAGAGAAGACGTGATGATGGAGGCAGAGGCCAGAGAGGGGAGAGATGGTACGCTGCTGGCTTTGAGGATGGAGGGAGAGGCATGAGCCAAGGAACGTGGTGCCTCTGGAGACTGGAGAAGGCAGGAAACAGGTCCTCCAGGAGGAAGGCAGCCTGCTGACCCCTCATTTAGGCCACTGACATTGACGCCGGACGTCTGACCTCCAGAACTGGGTGATGGTTGGGACCTTTGTCCTGTTTTAAGCCACTACATTTTGATAATATATTAGAGCAACAGTAGAAACTAATGCACTGTCATCAAAATTTCCATGAAACACGCTTAAGCAGTGTGAGAACGAAGATATTTGTGTATTACATTTAAGAAAAGCCAAATAGAAAGAACGATTTAAGTAGTATCCTAATAAACAGCTGCAAATACATCTTAACAAATGGAGAGGCCTCCATCCAGAAACTTGACGCTGATATTTATGTTGCCACTTAAAAGAGTAAGATGATCTATCTCCATTTTAGTTGCATTGTTAGGGAGGTTTCAACATTGTGTTCTTGCTGGCAGCTGCAGCATAAACACATCTATCCACGCCCTCGCAGCTGGACTCTGAGTGTCCAAGAAAAATGGGCTCCTGCTGGCTTCTGGTGTGGCGGAACGGTCACTCAGAAACACTTGGAGACTGCGCGACGTGGGCAGCATGGGTGGGGGGCGAGGAGAACTGAAGGAGGAGAAGCCCCCCTTTCCTTCCTGTCTGCCTTCATGTGGTTGGGGTTGGGGGAGTCCCCAGAAAATGAAACCAACATGATGCAGGGTGCTCTGCACCCCGAGTCGGGACCATGAGGAGGCATGGGGAGCCCTGACCCCTGGAAGAGGCGCCCAGATCTGTAACATTCTCATCCTCTCTAAACCTGCAGAGGTGCTCCCCAAGGTGGGCGGGCGTCCTGCTCACACGGGGAGCGACTCCGTCAGCAGCACCAGGAGCCGAGGGTGTTCATGCCATGGAGCGAAGTCAACCCAAGTTCCACTGATGGCTTTTTTTTTTTCTTGTAGAATGTGAAATTCCCTTGGAATGCTGTTTTTTGTGGTGAGATTGGGTTTAATTGTTACCATTCCTCCTGCTTCTTACAAGAAAAACAAAATTAATCCATGGTAGCCTAGAAAATAAATATGAAAATTTCACACAGACTGTTGAGAAAGAAAATGTCCCCAGACCAGGCCTGGGGCAGAACGTTACTTCTCGTGCTGTCCTTTAGACGCCCTTCTAGAGAGAGCCCAGCTCCTGACAAAATGCACATTTTGTATGAATTTTGATGAGAAATGAGATTCTCCGCAACCGGGAGACCGTCCGCCCGCCCTAGAGCCCAAGGCCGCTCAGCCTGGTGGGAGGCCTCTGTTTACTTGTTTCATTTTAATTTAGTCTGACAGCGGTCATGTAACCATCCTTTGTTCTTTTCTGTGAAATGTGTCTGCCAAGAAGAACGCGCGAACCGGCTTTCGTTAAATGGACGCTCTTGCTGGCCAAATAGAAATGAAACTTTGCGGCGGGCTCCTGATCCATTCATCGGAGAAGCAGCATAAACACCTTATTTCGGTCTGAGATAATCAATGTCATTTTTTTTTATGGTGTGACATTTTTATTTTTATTTTTTTTCCCCAGCTTTATTGAGATACAATTGACACAGGCATTGTATGAGTTTAAGGTGTACACCGTGTTGATTCGAGACATTTATTTATTCTAAAATGATCACCCCCATTGCGTTAGCTCACACTCCGTGACGTCACATGATTGGCATTTCTTTCTTGTGATGAGAACATTAAGGGTCTACTCTCTTAGGCACTTTCAAGAACACAATAGGGCATTGTTAACTATAGTCGCCGTGCTGTACGTTATAGCCCAGAACTTACTCATCTTATAACTGGAAGTTTGTACATTTGGACCAACGTCTCCCCATTTCCCCTACCCACCAGCCCCTGGTAACCGCCTTTCTACCCTTGGTGTCATTTAATAAAAGATTTGGACAGGGGCCAGCCTGGTGGCGCAGGTGTCAAGTCCACGCACTCCACTTCAGTGGCCTGAGGTTCATGGGTTCGGATCCCGGGTGTGGACCTACACACCATTCCTCTAGCCATGCTGTAGAAGGCATCCCACATATAAAGTAGAGGAAGATGGTCACAGATGTTACCGCAGGGCCAGTCTTCCTCAGCAAAAAGAGGAGGATTGGCAGCAGATGTTAGCTCGGGGCTGATCTTCCTCAGATAATCAGTAACTAAATAAATAAAAGGATGCACAGCTGGGGACTCTGTTGACCATCCACTAAGGCACCCCTCTGACGCGTTAGGGGGCTACACGGGACCTGGAGGAGGCGCGGGCCCTCTGAGGACACACTGTTGGGAGTGCATGAGGGCATCACTCCCAACCACGGCACAGGGAGCATGCCACCCGGGTGATACCATTTTTAGACCTTATTTACTGACTTCTTGTTATGAATGGGTAGATTTTAGCTCTTTTACAGCCTAATTTCTCCTCTTCATCTTCTCAATATCATGAGTTTTAATCAACAAACAGTGTTTATGGTATTTTGATGGAATAAATGCAGCCTAGAGCAAAGCCAGTGGTGTACTTTGAGTAGTTTCTTTTCTCATAGTGCTTTATGTTTTTCCTGGCCTTTCTACGTGCCTCTCTTTTTTTTCTTACACTATTTTAATCATATCCTCATTTTTTCCCACTCTCCATCGTGTCAAGTGTATTAGTTTCCTGTGGCTGCTGTAACAAGGTAACACAAACTACATGGCTTAAAATGACAGAAATTTATTCTCTCCCAGTCTGGAGGCCAGAGTCTGAAATGAATATGTCGACAGGGCTGTGCTCCCTCTCCTGAGGCTCAAGGGGAGGGTCCTTCCTTGCCTCTTCCAGCTTCTGACCATTGCCGACTCTCTTGGGAGTTCCTTGGCCTGAAGCCACATTTCCCCAACCTCTGCCTCTGTCATCACACCGTGTTCTCTCTGTGTCTGTCTGTCTCTTCTTACAAGGGCACAGCCCTGTTGGGTTAGAGCTCACCCCGACCGTAACACCTCACCTTAATTTGATACCATCCGCGAAGACTCTATTCCAAATAAAGCCACATTCACAGGGACGGGGGCTAAGACTTGGACATAGCTTTTTTGCGGGCACAATGCAACCCATAACATCAGGCACCCTATCGTTTTCCCCAGGGATTTCCTTTCCAGAGCCCTCCATACTCTGGCTCCAGTGTGGACCGGCTGTCCTCTAGGCCTGCTGGAAGCAAGTTACCTTGGATTTCCTGTCACTGTCCCCATGAGCTGGAGAGACTGCTTCAGGGACCCACGTCTTCTTCTTTCTTGGTTTATCTCCTCATTTTCCTGAAGCACGTCCTCAAGGAGCGTCCCAAGAAAAGGCGTGTGGGCAGGACCTCTTCTGAGTCTTTCCATGCCTAAAAACATCTTTCTCCACCCTCACACCTGATGGGCAGTTTGGTCAGCGATAAATTCTCGGCAGAAATAACTTCTGCCAGCATCTGGAGGCCCCGCTCTGCTGCCCTCCAGCATCTCGAGCTGCTGATGGGAAGTCAGCTGACAGTTTCGTTCTCGCTCCTCTGTGGGTGACATGTATTTTGTTTCTCAAAAATCTCTTAGGATCTCCTTTTTAATCCTTGATGCTCTGAAATTCACAGTGATGCATCTAGTGGGGTTATTATTATTACCGTTCATTTTTCTGGAGAAATTCTCCTCTCTATACCTTTGATAACTTCCTCCCTCCGTTTTTCTCATGCTGGAATTCTCATTAGCCAACCTCCTCCGAGCTCCTCCACGATCCTCCGATCCTCCGTGTCTCCTGTCCTTTCTTTCTTATTTTCCATCTCCTTTTTCTACTTTCAGAGAGACCTTCCTCCCCTTTACCTCCAACCTCTGCTGTTGAATTTTTAGTAGTGACTTCATTTTAATTTTCTGGAAGCTTTTTCTTGTCCTGGGTCCTACTTTATGGAGGCGGCCTCTTCTCTAAGGATGTTACTAGCAGGTGCCCTGTGTTGGCTAATTCCCCTCGTTCCTCGACTTCCCTGTTGCCTTCAGGGTCCTTATTTTCCTCTTTATCTTAGTCTCTCTCCTATGTGTCACCGGGCGGCCCTTGGTCACCTGCTGTCTTCAAGAACAAGACGATAAGGATCCAGCGGGACTTCCTGACCTCACACTGGGGCCCTAAACTCCAGAATGAAGACAGACTCTGCGACATTTTTTCTTCCAGCTCCTGAGACAGTCACCTGCCCGGGCCCACCCTGTCGCCTCCACAGCCCACCCTGGGAGCCTGGCAGAGCAGGGGTTTGGGAGTGAGGATCCCCGGCAGAGGAGGGCGTTGTGCCAGAACCCATCGAGTGTCCCCTGTCCCTTGGGGCTGTCCACTGGGTCCCCTAACACTCTGGCTAAGCTGGACAGCTTTTCCCCACAGCACAGGAAGCCAGAAGAAGTTGGAATTTTCAAAACTTTAGGAAACATCAAGGAAGAAGAAAGAGGAAATTCTTTCAGAAGACGTCCACGGCTGAGAAACAGCCCAGCAGGCCCCTCTCTCCCTGGGGAGCCAGGCTGTGAATAAAGATGTGTTTACGCAGTTAAGGAGGGGTTCCAACTCAACCCTGCCCCGCCCGGACCTTGACCTTTGCTGACCCCTTCCTCCTGACCTCTGAGTGTGGGCGGGTCCAGCTGAGGCCCTCCCACCTTCTCCTCACCCAGGGTGGCCTTATGGCCTTGGGCTGTCAGTACCTCCTACTGCCCACGCCTACATCGGCATCTGCTCGGGGCTGAGTCCCATGTGTCTCCCAGCCTGCAGCTCTTCCCAGGCTCCCCGCTGGGCTGTCCCCTCCCTGCCCTCCTCGTCCAACGTCCCCTCTCTCACCAACGCTGGGACAACACGTCCTCCTCCCAGGCCCCTTGGCCCCTGCATATTAATTCTTGCAAATACATTCTCTATGATGCAACCGCCTCCCTCTGCGGCCCAGCTGGCGACCCTAACACAGCTGGGCCTCCTCCTGCTCATTGTGTGCCCTGCTTTCTTTCACAGAACGCTGCGATGCGAGGGGCTTCCCTGAAGAGGGAGGGAACCGGAGGCCAGCTGAGGACAGAGACGGTGGCCTGGCCGCCTCTTGAGTCTGGCGCCCAGCGTGGAGCAGGCACTCAGTGAATGCTGGCAGAGGGGCGGCCAGCGCTTGCTGGCTCCATGAGGCGAGCGTTGGCTGCAGGGGCCTGGGGTCAGGGCTGGGTGGGGCCCCGCCGAGGGGGCTTGGCTTCTGTTTGCTTCTCTTGGAGCCATGGACACAGAGGCACTGGACCCTATCGGCCGCGGTCAGAGTGCACATTTGGAATGTGCTTCTCAGGAAAATACATCCCAGTGGCCCCAGTTCCTTGCGGGCTGGGGGAAGAGAAATGTGTGCTGGTCTCCTGAAAATCTCTAGAATTTCTTCAGAGATTCCAGCCTACTTGTGTCCCCAGTCCTCGGGGGGGCCTGCCAGGTTCAGACGACTCTGACCAGCTTCTGCAGGAGTCCCCAGACGCCCCCTGCAACTGCAAAGAGGCTCTCGGGCTGGCTTCCACAGAAGGGGCGCCAGGCCTCCAGGGACGAGACTGGGACCTGGGGCACGGCCTGGGGTGCCCCCAGGGCTGTTGGCTCCAGGCTGCACCTGCTTCCTCCAGTTGGCCCAGTGTCTGGCCTGGGAACTGGCTGGCATCAAGCCCCCTGCAGAGCAGCAGCCATGGCTCCTCAGCCCCTGCAGGACGGAAGGGGCCCCAGGGCCAGGGTGAGCCAGCCGGCGCATTCACCACGTCACGCCCAACCGCAGGACCCCCAGCCTGCTGTCCTCTCCTGGGACCCGGCTGCCTCCCTCCCCAGGTGCCTGCTGCACTCCACATGGCACTTCCCACCCAGACTTGTTCCCTTGCTCTCTGTAAACACACCTCCCCTGCCAGACCCTGCCAGGCTGGGCTGTGTCCCTAGTGAGGAGGCAGAGGGGACCCAGACATCACTCCTCTCAGGGCCGGCCTAGAGTGGGTGTGAGGCCAGGTGGGTCTGCATTTGAGAGGGACCGGGGTAGAATGGGGGGACGAAGTGGGGAACCACTTCCCCCAGGTGGAGGGCTTGGCCCTCATCCGTCGAGGTGCTGTTTGCTGAGCACCTGTGGTGTTGCTGGTGATGCTACAGGACAGGTGCTGTCCTAGGCGCTGGGGACTCCAGATGGAGAGGACAGAGTCCCTCATGGAGCTTGTGGCCTGAGGCAAATGCAGAGCGGTGTGGCCGTGAGTGCTGTGGGGAAGGGATGAGAGTGAGGGGAGCGGGGCCCCTCTGAGCAGAGACAGGCTGGAGTGAGGAGGGTGGGCCTGTGGATACCTGGGGAGCAGCATGCTGGAGACGGAACAAGTGTGGTGCAAGGGTCCTGGGGCAGGAGGACTCTCGCAAGCTGAAGGAACTGAGGGAAGGGAGGCAGGAGAGGGCAGGAGATTGGGGCTGCACTGCGGTGGTTTGGCCTTTCAAGGTGGGAAGGACACCTGCAGTCCTGGTGTTGAAGGGAGAACTGCAGGGAAGAGGGAGGGGGAGGGCTGGGAGGGAAATGGCGGGGCTCCGGGGTGCTCTCCTAGCAGCCCTCTCCCCAGGCTCCATCGCCGTGCGCCACCCCGTCCACCCACGCCCACATCGCAGCCTCCCATTCAGCCGCAGGCCTGTGGGTGCTGCGGACGCCTCCCTTGGGTCCCCCCAGAGCCTCAGACCCACTGTCCAACCACAGCATACCAGGCCCCGGCGCCAAGCCTGCAGCCCCGGGGGACAGTGGGCGTAGACAGGCGCATCTCACCTGTGCTAGGAGCCGAGAAATGATGCCTGAGAACTGGGTGTAAGGAGCAACAAGCGTTCAAAGAGGAGGGTGTGTCTCCCACGGGAACACTGACTCCTCCTGGGGTTTCTTTTATTGCCTGGGGACACGGTTACACCCTGTAAACTGTAGATAACTGAGAGGGTGTAGCCGAGTGTCAGGAGTGTCATTCCCAGACTCTCAGCCTCAGAGAGACAGGTCCACGCCCTGACCCCCGCACCAACAGATGCGCCTTATTTGGAAGGAGAGGTGCTGCGGCCGTAGTTAAGGTCATGGAGCCCAGGAGACAAGGATGGCTGGCAGCCCGCCGCCGCCGTGGAAGTTGGGAGAGGCGTGGCAGGACGCTTCCTCCCTGCCCGCAGAAGGAACCCGCCCCGCCAACAGACGCCCTGATTCAGGCGTCAACTCAACACTCAACCTCTGGCCTCCGGAACAAACTGCCAGAGAACAAGTCTCTGTCGCCTGAAGCCGCAGCCTGTGTGCCTAGTCCCGCAGCCCCGCACACTGACACAGCACGCAGATCCATTCTGCCCCAGGAGGGCCGACCCGCGCCCCCCCCCCCGCGGGAAGGGCAGCTCCCGCCAGTGTGAACCACCCCCCGTCCGCCTCCCTTCCCTCCCGCCCCCGCCCCCCCCCCCCCCCCCCGCCCGGGACATTCGTGCCTTTTCGCTCCTCGTTTGAACTGGCTGGAACATGTTACCAGTTCCCTCACTAAATGGGAGTCAAATAAAATCTGTACC